TTTTTTGTTTTACCTCTTCATGTAACTTCTTCCAGTTTGTTGATATATTTTCAGTTACATATTTGGAATTATGTGAATCATTCGAGCAGCTTAATGCGGTCTCTTCCCCAGTGCTGTGTGAAGAAGTAGCAGTTTGACTGGATGGATCTTACTGTGCAAATTATGGCCCCAGATCTACAGCTTATTTCAGCAAATATTTAAGTCCTATTAGTGTTGATAAGACTATTCAACTATCTAAAATTAAGCCCATAGGAATCTGTGTTATTTTGCATTTATTAATGACTAAAGCAATTGCAGCATGCCTGTCTTCACATTGAGGACCTTCTGTGTTGGGTTTTGGGGGTAGGGGGCGTGGTTTTTTGGTAGTGGGGGAAGGGCCACCTTGTGAGAGCAAAAAGCTCCCCTGGCTCCAAGGCAGAGACCCCCCAGCCCAGGCTGGGGCCACTGAGCACTAGAGAAACACCTCTGCCAATCCATATTGGTGAGGGGAAGGACTGTCCTGAAAAGAAGTAGGTGTCAACCTAGAGGAGGGACCATTGATCTAACAGAAGACAACCATCAGCCAAAACAAAGGACAGAGAGACACAGAGAGAGCTTCAATGCCAGAGGGCACAGAGACCCACACCCAGTTCAACTGCATGGAGTAGGAGAAGACAAAGTCCCCTGCAGTCCATGGAGATTCAGTGGCGGAGCAGAAACCCACATGTAGGCCATGGAGAACTCCACACTGGAGCAGAGGAGCCTGAGGGCAAGTTTGACTGGAACTGTAACCCCAAGAGTCGCTTGCTGCCAGAGCAGGGGTAGACCCCCAGAGTGGGGGGTGAGTCTGCAGTCCATGGACGTCCCCATGCCGGAGACAGGAGCCGAGCCTGAAGAGGTCCGTGACTCCATGGGAAGCTTGCATTGGAACATCTTGTTTCTGGACTTTCATGCCAGGAAGAGCAGCAGAGGTGAACTGACTGTAACCCCCATTCCCTGTCCCCTGTGCTCCTGTAGGGGGAAGGTAGAGACATCAGGAGCAAAGTGATTTGAGCCCAAGAAGAAGGGAGGAGTGGGGGAAGGTGTTGTAAGATGTGGTTGTTATGTCTAATTAGATGATTTGCAATTAATTAAATTGTTTTTTCTTCCCCAAGTTGAGTCTCTTTTGCCCATGACCATAACTGGTGAGTGAGCCATCCCTGTCCTTCATCCTAATCCTTTGCCCCCTTTGTTGTGACTCCCATCCCATCTCACTGGGTTGGGGGATTGAATGCGGGACCACATGGTCCCACTGTGGGTCAAACCACCACACTTTCTGATGACTTTGTTAGGGGATGTTGCACCAGTCCATATCCAGATTGATCAGTTGTTGGTTTAGTTGCTATTTTATAAAAACAATAGGCCCCATGACCTATTTAGTTGATATATCACATATTCTGAATATCTTCAGTCAGAGAAGTAGCGATATTATTGTTCAAGTCTCTATCCATAGCATCTTTCCATTAGTTCACTCTCACAAGCAACCACTTACAAAGCAAATGACCAGTAGGAATTCACTTTCCCAACCCTCCCCATAGCTGACTGGGACTAATCAAAATAAAATGTTCATGAATTAAGACTAGACTATTTTGTATTCTGTTTAAAGATACAAGCAGTAAGGAAGAAGGAGAACCTTTTTTATATTGACACGTCAGTTCTTAGTAAGCAAAAATGTCTTGATGGTTTTGACAACAGAATAGCAGTCATGTCTTTCAGCACATTGTGGGACCTCTGCAGGTAATCACAGGAGGGCAGAAGACAATATATCTGAAGATATTTTGCCAGACAGCTTACAGAGCTGGACACCATCATTTATGAAAAACTGTAGTTTGTTTCCTGACAGAAGATCTGTCTCCTACAACTAGTACGATTTGATTCCCTTGCTAAATTCAACTTGTAACCAGACATAGTTGTTTTATATGTATTTCCTCCATTGCCAAGGGACTGTAGGTATTCTCCTCAAATAATTACTGCTTGCTCATTAGTACTGGAAGAGGCCTCCTGAGTGAGTCAGGTCCCCCGCTGCTGCATTCACAACATGGTATTACCCCTTCCATGAGCTGAGCAAGCTCCATCCTAGGATTAGCTATTTTGTTAGCCCCACTATTCTATCTGGAAATTTGCCTCAAAAATTAACTTCTCAGAAACCTTCTTTTAATTTGCAGGCTAAATTTAATTATGAACTGTTTATTCTTGTGCCAAAGTTATCCTTTACCTAAGCAGCCCTTCTCCTTTTCTGGTGTTTCTTGTGGGTATGCCCAGGAACAATTGTAGCTTCTCTCAGACTTTATTTCATTTGGACTGTTAGAAAAACAATACCATTTTTCTGTTTATTTTTGTTGTTCTTGACCACGGGTGATCAGATTTGAACACGACATTCCGTGAGAAAGCCCATTTCTTCTGCAGGAATGACTCAGGTGGTGTACCTGAGCCTTACGTTACCTCACCACATTTCCCTTCCTTGCAGATGCCAGCAGTCATTGTGGATCATCCTGCAATCTATATGCACAGGTGTTTCCAGCTCAGGAGCACTTACTTCCTTCTAGAAGATACAGCTTTGTGATACAGCGTTTTGTTTTCGTATATTTAACCCTTTATGATATCTTAATCTGTTAGCCAAAAATTGTAATAATCCTCACAACCTGGTCCATGCAACTTCCACTGACTGTTCTCCATTCAAGTATCAATGATCTGATGCAGAAATTAGCCTTTATAGATGAGGTCAGAGGTTTTTTGTGTGTTGAGTGGTCTCATTGTTTAACCTTATGGGTTGTGTATTAATAGCTTAATTGCCATTTTCTTGCTTCATTCTGGCTTTTGCTGCCATATCCGCTTTCTTTGATGAATTGAGCCAGCAGCTTTCATCAGCTTAACAACTGTTTTTCCTCTGCTACATTAGTTATATACTCCAGACCTCTTGATCCCTGCTATTTTTTAGCTCCTTCAAACAGATAGAAAAGTGAAGTGGTGCTCTTACTGCATTATTTGAAGAAGACCAGGCAAACATTCTCTTCTTTGTCCCTTTTTTATATGTGGAATTTGCCTTTTGCCTAGGAAAATGTATTTCCAGGGACTTCTGGGCACACCTCTTGTTCTGTGTCATTCATGCAAAATTTTGTAAAAGTCAGGTCCTGAACCAATGTTATTAGGTTTGAACTGACACAGGGGAAAGTATTTCCCATGAGGTAAGGGTAGCTTTATCACCCAGAGGAACACTTACACGTAAGGGGGAAATAAGGTATGCTACTGACCAATTCAAAACCTTATAAATGACAGCACATCCTTGGTTTTCTTGGTTTATTTTTTCTTTTCCGTTCCTCTACCTTTCACTTCATTTATGATTTGATGAGTAGTGTTTATACTGAAAGACAGACACCAGTATATTCTATACAAGGTCATTTCTCTTTACTGGAAATAACTTTTAAATCTCGATGTTAAGGAAAATCTGGTATAAGCAGAGTTATTGAACGTGTTTATAAATATTTTCTCCTCCTGTGAATGAAGATGTGCTCATGTCTATGTCTGTAGCTACCTTATATTAGTGAAGTAATTAACATATCTATCATCCAGACTGCTTTGCATGCTGTTGATTTTAATTACTTTAGTCACTACAGTTACATACTCCAGTGAAATTATAGTTGAAATATATTATAGGGGAGCCTCCAAAAAGATCTTTACATTTCAAACTTGAAGTGTAAGCACATAAAAAGACAATAGAGAGGATTATCAGGTAGCATTTTCAAAGTGCCTCAGTCATTCTGGCAATGTTTTCTGCCTAACAGAACAATGTTCTTCTTGATTGCTTGGTCGTTAATAAGTGAAGAATAGTGACTGCTGAGATATTACTTTCTTGTCCTGTTTAACTCCTTTTTGGAGCCCTGTCTTGCAAGGCACTGAGATTCAGTAAATCCCAAGTTTCTCTTAACCTTCAAGTTACCAAGCTCTATGGTAATTTTGTCTTTCTGATGAAATCTAATGACAAACTGAGGGATTAGATTTTTTATTTCTTAAAACAATAGTCAGATTAGCTGCTCTTCACTTTTACAGTGGGCCTACTCCAGTGCCTTGTGTTTTTGCTATTTACTAGAGGAAGCTGTAATACAGCACTGTGCTGACATGTTTGCAGAATCCAGCCTTTAGTTGGGGTTGGGTTTTTTGGTTTTGTTTTTGGTTTTTTCCATTTAGCTGTAACCTTTAACTTTTTAATGCTGGAATGTTTCAGTCACTATATAATATGTGTCTGCTGTGTAGTGTGGAAGTCAATTCTTCTCTATAACAGTGGGAACAAATCTTTAACTCAAGTCTGTTAAGCAGCATTTCTCCCTACCTTTTGGATGCTTTGTGCCAATCTACTGGTAGAGAGCAGGTATAAATTAAGTTGAACTAATGGGTTAAGTCATGCTTATGGCTCCCATGCTGTTACGGAGCAGCATAAAATGGCCAGAGAGTGGTGAATATTTCGGTCCAAGATTTCATTATTTTGCTGTTGATCTTTAACTGCAATAAATCTAATGGCTGTTTGCTTACAAGTTAAATCCATTATTACTTAAATAGCTGTCTTAACTTGTGTAGCTGCCATGTATTCATATTGGACAACTGCTTCTGAGTGAAAACAAGAGAAGTGAATAAGATAGCCCTCAGCTATTACTTAGATGTTTTATGAACTATGGAAAAATTCATGTATTCCAGGTTACCTATACATTTATGTATGAAGTAATTAATTCTTTCATTATGTCACTCTTTGAATTAGTTCTCAAATGAACCCATTTGCTGCTTAAATAGCAGTTCCAGAGGTCATTAACATAGGTTTTAAAGCCTGTATATTGGGTGGAAATTTAAAAATCCATGTGAAGTGGCAGTGTAAGTCCCAAGATCAGAAAGTATTCTGAATTAATGTAATAATTCTGTGTAGCATACAAACACTTTTGTTTCTGCAGACTTCTACATTTTCAGATGTTTCCTTTTTTCTTTCTTTTCAACAGATATAAGCTTACCAAAATCAGCAACAATATGTTATACAGCTGCATTGCTCAAAGCCAGAGCTGTCTCTGACAAGTAAGTGCAGAAGAACCACTGTCCAGCAAAATTCCTGATTTAACTCGAGATTTCTCTTAGCTGAGCCCACACCCTAACAATCTCCTGGGTTAGCAGGAGAATTCAATCCTGCAATAAATTTATAAAATTACTTTATATATAATAAAAATTTGTAGTGATCAAACATTGCACTTCAAATGTTATAGAAGAAGAAGAGAAATAGCATAAATTAAATTCTTGTTTCCATTTTATGTATACTGTCTGGGTGAGCTTTGGCTTCCTAGATAGTATAATGAAGATGCAACTAAAAGGTGTTGTGTGGCTGAACCTCTTCAACTTTGTGTAAACCTGACCACAAAAAGGTAATAATAAACGTGGTTGCACTGGTAGCAACGTCATTTTACAAGTGCTGTCAGAAGACTCCTCTGCTTAAATAGCGGTAGGTGGATTTAGCATTACTATGTCAGGGATTCTGAGAGGTAGATGATGTTCATATTTTTAGAGACACAAATTATCTGCTCATTCCTGTTATGGTTTTCTCTTGGATCTCAACCTTCCAAGGTTCTGAGCACATCTACTTGATACCTGTTGACTTGAGAGCACTGGCCCACTCTGAAAGGGTGCTCAGCTCCTTGTGAGATGGAGCTCAGAAATCCCAATTCTGCTCTCAGATGCCTTCACACAAATCTCAGGCAGAGTTGTGTCTGTGCACCTGAGGGTCGAATGCCTCCCTAAAGTTGGAAAGCAAGTAGAGTGGAAAGCCATTTTCTTGACTGACATCCTGACAGTTTTTGCTTTTAAAGTGTATGTACACATCAAGATCTAAGTAATTTTCTTTCATTCTTTTTATCCTGTAGATCGCCAGTACCTACTGCAACATCTTTCCTCCCTACACAGCGACTCCAGCTTGGGAGGGCAGGGCTAAGGTTGTCACAGCTTTCCCTGTGGTGTCTGCCTGCCAAGTACAGCTCTGGAGTTAGCCGTGGGGTGTGAGGTGAGAAAGAGATTGCATGGTCTGGTTTTTCATTCACTGGGGCAGATGATTTGCCCACAGTTTGGGCATGCTACCCTCAATGGTGCTGTGGCCAGTAGACCACCCGCTACTGCTGCTGCATCGTGCTTCCATCCCAACCTGACCCAGGGGCATTGGGTTGGGAACCTCCCTAAAACCTCCTCAAACTTGTTTTTAATAGAAATCCCCCACAATAATTTGGCATTGGTTTTTTTTTTTTTTCTTTTTTTTTCTGCAAGTTCAGCCTTGACTATGCCCCTTAGCAAGGTACCTAGAGCAAAGTTAGATTAGTGACAGAGAAAGGACTGTTTGAACTGACTTTCTGCCATGATTAGATTCAAACATGCTTTCCACTTCTTCTGGGATTTTCTTTAGCCTTGTTGTGATAGATCACTCAGAGTTTCCACTTGCTATGGAAGTTTGGAGAGCATAGGAAGATGACTCAGTTTGGTTACATGGGCCCATGTTCTAGATTTTTTTCTGGCTTTCTCTTCCTAGCGTTTCTGACCTAATGTGTTTGTTTCTTTGCTTTTGTAGATTTTCTCCAGAGGCTGCCTCAAGGCGAGGGCTGAGTACTGCAGAGATGAATGCAGTAGAAGCTATTCACAGAGCAGTAGAATTTAATCCACATGTGCCAAAAGTGAGTATGGAGAAAGCATTGTTGTAGCTTTAACACTGCTGAGGACCTAACTCCTGATTTCTGTGTTAGATTAATGAGTGATGTTGTGGAAGGGGGAGCAAACAATGGGAAGGGAAAGAAGCTGATACTATGCACAGTTTTTTCATTTGGTATTTCACATTCAGTGTCTTCTACTCTGGATCATACAACTTGAAATTTTAGCTAAAGTGAGTCCTCTATGTGAGCAACAATAGTAAGTGGATTGCAGTAGTAGACACCAGCAAATGCTGCACTGCAGGACAGAACCATACATAAAGGCAGACTATTGTTATTCACAAAATAGCCATTAAAGATCTAGTTCAAAGTAGCATGTTTTATTTGTTTTGATGATTACATGTAAGAATATTTTTTGCATGCTATACAAAGGAACCTATGTTTGGTGTTCACAGTGTGCTTCATAAAAGTTGCATTAGTAATTCCTTGTGCAGCACCCTGTCATTAAGTTCTGAGAATGCAAAGCTCAGAGGTAAAGAATTGCTGAAAACTACAAAGTAAGAAAAGGGATTTATGTTCTAATTCCCTAATCCTCTCTCTAGATATGTATCTCAGCGGTAAGAATCTTGCCCAGGGGCTACTAAAGGCTACTGTATTTTATTATTTCATCACCTGTTGCTCAGTATTTCAGTCTGTAAGTTCATTGTAAAGGCAAACTAGAGGCAGATGCTTTTTGGCCCTTGGAGATCTGCCTCTGAACCTCACCCCACAAACCTTTGGACCAGTACTGCCATTTGAAAGTAAGCAGCCTCCACTGGAGAGCAGAAGACTGGTGTGTCAATGCAGGGAGTCTATTCCCTAGGTACAGCTGAACACCAAGTCTGGTCAAGATAAACCCCAGACCTCTCCTGTGTGTACACATGGATTGCAGAAAGTTCATTCTCATGCATTGCAGGAATTAAATATTTTCTCTGTGAGCTATATCTGTTGTGCCGATTACTAAATAGCATGGTTTAGCTATCTGAAAGTTAGGCTGTTTTTTTAATAAAATCATCTAGACTTCCTCTACAGGCAGTGGAAAGAAGGAACTATCTTAGACATCTCTAGACAGACTTGCCCTCCGAGGTGCCTGTTTCTTCATTGACTATGAAAGGAGCAACTATTTTCCAGTAAAAGCCTGATTTTTAGACAACAAGATTTAGGTGAGATGAGTCCCTTTGTATTATTAGCTGATCTTTTGTTTTTGTGCCAAGCTATAAAATGAAAATATTAAATGAAGTTTGATTCCAGGACTGCTTCTGCGGAACTCTGCTTACTTTCTTCCATCCCAATGGTTCTTGCATCAACACCACCATTGATACTTTCTTCTGCCTGGTTGCCTGTTTAACTCTCTGTTCCAGTCCTGTTCTGGGTGAACCTTTCTGAATGTTTTAGTGAAGCCTGATTGGAGTATTCTATCCTTGCTGTCTAAAAAATTCGCTATCTTGCCGAGCAGAGATATCAATGTAGCCTATCATGAGCAATTCTTGGGGGCTTGTTCCATTTTTGTCACTTACCTCCATGCTTTTGATAATTCTTTCCATCAAAAGATTTTTTTTTAACAGTTTGCGTATTAGTGATTCCATATTAACACATATTGTTTCCCTCCTTTTTAAATGAATGACGTTGCATTTACTTCTCTCATCACTGGATCACTTGATTCTGAGTGGGAGTCTTCTTGGTTTATGTCAGTTTTGCTAGTCTGGCCATTTCTGGGACTGGTTCATTCACTGTTCAGGGAGAGAGATCAACAATTGCAGTAGCCTCCACTTCTGTACATGCTCCTAATGTCCATTCTGCTATTGTCTCCACGCTCTGCACTACCATAAAACTGAGGCTGAGTCTTCATTTACTCCCTTTTTGCTTGTTCTTTTTCTGTTTCTACATAAGACCTTGCTCTTCTTTAGTTTTACTTCCTTTGCAAAAGCTACTGTGCTGTAAGTTCTGGCAGTTGCTCCATAACCTTTGCACTTCCAGACCTCCAAGATCCTGCTTTTCTTGTAGATCAGTGCTTTCACTCATCGCTTGTGAGCAGCCTTCTCACTTGCCTTCTCATTAGCCAGCTTCTGGCTGTTCAATACAAGTCTGAAACTCCTTTCTGACAAGTATCCCCATAAGTGAAATGCAGATTGTATATTATTTTCAGTACTTTTGATTTAAAGAAATTCCAATCCTTTTCCTCACTTAAGTTCCTGAGCTTTTCAGTCAGTTCACATTGTTAATTGATTCCCTCCATTTTTGAAAGTCTGACATTTTGAAATTGAAAACCTTTGTGAAACATAAATTATCAGCATAACAAGGTAGTAACAGGAGCAGTATCTAGGGTTTTCTTAGTTCATATTTTAACATTAAACCAGTGTAACCTAATACAGATTAATATGCAGCACTCCTGATTTCACACTCATTCTTTCTGCTATTAGCTAAAGGATATTAAGGTGGCAAAAATTTTTCTTTTGTTATAATTTTATGCACAGTATAGATGTCACACCTCAATTTCCCCTCAATTATGATTGGAATCATATCCAATTTGTTCTTAATGAAATGGAGTTAAGTTTTAGCAAGCAGTATCACAAGAAATCTAACAGGACCACAACGCTAATATGTCTTCAAAGCTTCTTTAGGATTTAAACACTAATGAATCTGTTGTTCAGACTAAAGAAGAAATAAATTACAAAGGTGAAAAATGATTTAAAGCATTTGTGAAGTTCCCAGCAGAAGCCTTGAAAGCAGGGAACTGCACTATTAAAAAGAAAAAAAATGCTTCAATATTTTTCTGGTTTGTCTCAAAAGGAGATTTTACCATTTTCAGTGCAAATCATTAACATTTAGAATTTCCACATGAAAAGATTATTACTGGGTATGCATTTTCAATACGTTTAACTGGAAATAGGTTTTTGCTAATAAGATTCTGAGACAAAGGAAATGCAGAGAACACACTCTGAACATGCTGAGAGATGCTGCTGATCTGGATTTAGCAAGAAAGGGAGACTGAGTCTCCTATTGTGACCTATTGAAAGTTTATGTAAAACAACCATAGGATTCTTACAATTCTGCTGACTTTTCCCTAGGAGGTTATGGCCAGATTGCAGTCGCGTATTAGTTAGTGATGTTGCAGAGGTCAGATATACTTATAACACTTTCTTTAACTGTAATCTAAAGAGGTAGGAACCTCTTAAGAAGAAGCAATTTAAAAGCCCCAGATTGCCATCTTTACATAGAAGTGAGAAACCTTGCAAAAACATGTAGAAACCAGCATGTATGCATGGTTCTGGGAGTCTTCTCAGTATGTATATCATAAAGATGTTGGCACCCACTTTCATTGATTCTAGATGACTGTGCATCAGCTTGGTTTTTATTTTCTGTCTGCACAAAAATGCCTTTTACAGAGACCTAATATGGCTGACAGTCTTTCTTCAGCCAGCCACCCTTCCAGCAAATAACCTTCTTTTCACACAGATCTCTTCTTCCGTTTTTTACTACATTTCAATTACAATTTAATTTCCAGAGATCAATCCATTAAGCTTCAGCCATAGGTGATAAATTCTCATTGTTTTTGGAATACACTGGAGTCAAGATGTGACACGTGGAGGTACCAGAATTTGGTTTAAGTGAACAAAGGCAATACAGAGCTCAGTGCAGGATGAGATTCTATGGACTAGTATCCTTTTGTTTTCCTGCTACATCTCTCCCAGGAGCTGGGCAGCTGACCTGGCTGTGCTGTTTCTGAAAGCTGAGCTTTGCAGGGTAAGGCCAGCTCAAGTGTGTCAACTGTAATCTCCTTGTTGACTGCAGTGAAAATGTAAATACTGTCAAACTGATCAAGAGTTCTCATTATGAAGACATCTTATCTGTAAAAAGGTTTCTGTGCTTGAAAGTGGCTTAATTTTTTAGACTGTACCAGAAAAATATCTTGACAAAATATATTAGATCTATGTATCACAGAATCACAGAATGTTGGGGATTGGAAGGGACCTCGAAAGATCATCTAGTCCAACTCCACTGCCAGAGCAGGATCACCTACAGTAGGTCACACATGAACATATCCAGGCGGGTCTTGAATGTCTCCAGAGAAGGAGACTCCACAACCTC